TCTTCGTCGTATCTGTCTACGCTCACAATGGCTGCAGCTCAGTCAAGGTGAAGCATTTCAACCTCCTCCAAAATCATAGGCTCTCTTGTTTAGTGATGTTGTCTGACGACTTCAGTGCTTAAGTATGTAGACTAAGTGAAAAGCAAAGACACCTGGCTGCACCATTCATTATCAACTCAGATGTTTCGATGAGCCGAACACTTACCGGATTAGTTCAACTAGCATTCTGCCACAATTCGGTTGACCACGATCTCCAGTCATCCTGAATAGCGAATCTTTCCAAGTCCTCCGAATCTTCATGAAGTTGGAATGACTATAAATATCTGGTTTGAGAGAGAACAGTGGATTCTGATAGATTCACACAAGGGACTTCAATGGATCGTAGTTCAATTTAAACAGTTAGATTGACTGATATCTCAAATCTTAGGAACTTAGCATAATCCCATGTGACCGGTCTCAATCATTGATTGTCTCAGTCCACAAATAAAACAGAAGTCCTCTTGTGACAATCACAGAGGAGTTAGTCTCAATAAAATAGTTTCCAAATTGTTAGACTTGATTATTCTTAGACGCCTAACTAGCACTCGTGAAGAGCAGACTAGAGAAAATCAGTCATGTTTCAGACCTGGACGTGACTGTATAGGCCACATAATCACACTACGACAGAACTTGCAACACAGACACACATTGCGGCGTCCGACATTACAGCGGAATACGAGCGTGAGGTTCTGTCGCAGTGTATGTCGATAAAATGTGTGCAAGAAATGTACATTACCCTTATACAAGCTCTCTACTAGAACACCACAGGTTAAGTTAGAGCTTATGGTGAACTGTCATCAAACTTCTTCACTTCAAGTGGTGTTCCTCATGGTTGCTCACTCTCCATACTTGTTTAAATTTGTCGTGGATATGCTCTTACGGTAAACATTATTATCGACTGCACTATAATTCTTGAAAAATATTTTCGATCCACAATATTCTTCTCTACAACTAGTTCTTCTACCACCTCTACCATTATGGGATCTCAGCTGACAGTTGCGTCTATGTCCTGATGCAGTGTGGCAATCTGAACTAATGTACGTAGGTAGGAAGTTCTACGTTGTAAGTGAATGACCGGATTCATTCATGTTATTCTACATAGTACGTGATTACTTGTTTATAACTAAACCATTATCTCTGTCTATCCATCATAATCAAATTTACTATGATTATTAATTTTTCTAATTTATATTCAGAGGAATACTGTATGCTAGACATCTCAGTGCGAATGATATATTTCGATACGCAATCCTCATTGGTCGTCAATAGGAAGATGATGACAATGAATATACACAATGTGAGCGTCCGAAGAGAACCTAACAAAATGAATACATATTCATGTATTTTCTCTTTACACCTTGTCCTCACACATTTATATGCATGTATACTTACCTGTATCACTTGATTGTCTAATAATCGTCAAATGAAATAAAAATTATCTGTGGCAGGAACATGATTATGATCATCTGTTTTTTACATGCTATCTATTGAAAAAAACAAACCCCGTGTAACAGTACATTTGTACTTTATTATTGATTTTTACTACTCAATATGAAAATGCTTGTTGATATTCTGAATGAATCACTTTACAAAATTCACCATTGTTTCCTTATAGACAAGGGCAGCTGTTTGCACTTCTGAAAAAGGTTGGTTGATATAATTTATTATTTGTGAGTGTACACATACATAGGTATAGGTTTACACAAATGATGATTATCCTCATTGATTATTGTCAAAGTGTATTAGGTTGTACGACAAACCATCATAGTGAGAAATGTTTATTCAAGTCACTGATGCGAACAACTCTACTCACATAATATATAAGTTAGTTGTAACACATCTATCGCACCAGATAGCTATGACCACATAGGGATTGTATTCTAAAGAATATAAGCCATTAGACATTATACAAAATCACAACGAAGAGGTCACATTAGATACAGTTGGACTTTGTGTGCAGTATACGCTGAAGACCCAGCTTCGACATTAGAGACGGAATTATTGGATGAGCAAACGTTTATTTTCTTGAACGGTGATACATATTATTACATCAGTAAAAATATTTCCACAAATTATTGATATAAGTATTGCAATTAACTGACTTGTTTTGTGCTTCATCCCTTGTATATGATAACGGTCTACCACACTACGGAGACAGAAGTGCGCATGAAGGTTTCGTAATCTACCATACAGTCATCTCAACTATAAACACTGAATGAAAGCCTCACGCTGTTTAAATATCATATGTAATAATAGTTTATGATTGCTATAAATGAGATATTTTAATTGTCGTCGATGTAAAATGTTCATAAATAACAAATGTGTCTATTATATAGCCGAGAATTCCAAGACAAACCCATACTATGAAGAATTTGGTTATGATTCAGCCTGCTTTCAGCAGGGTTTGACCGGTGATTACATGACAAAAACAGACTCGCGGGAAAGAACGAATGGAATAAACTATCCAGCCAGAGCAACTTGTCACAAAGTTAGTAAATGATATATCTCATATTTTGAAAAATTGTTTATGCAAAGTCACAGAAAGACATTGTGTACGACATGAGTAGTTACACTGCTTATGAACTGTCTTTCAATGTATTGGAAACGGTAAAGTTGTGGAGTCGCGCATTTTATTCTCATCTATTTAAATTATTCCTTCTCAGTTTCGATGCTCTCACGAGAACGGTCTTGAAGTAAAATTCTTCGAAGATTATTTTTCTTGTCCTGTGAACGGTGGAAGTAGGATAATCCAGCTGCATTATGATGGAAATAAGTTATTCAACACCACAATAGACTGTCCGCCTTGTGCGTCACTGTGTAAGGTCAGTTTATTATTTTTTATTCTCAAGTGTTAATTCATGTCCATAACGAAGATTTCCTACATATGCTACTCATAGATAATATTTATTGTTAGAATCTCTCCTGATCTCCTTCACATCGAAACTGCAGATGTTATGAACGTTCTGTGTCATCGAAAAGAAATTACTATTCTCAGTTCTTACCTGATGAAGCATAATATGCTTTACTGAATATCGATGAAAATTCTATTCAGTCAAATATCGGAGAAACGCAGCACATTATATGCGTTGAATCATGCATGAGAAATGTATACAATTCTAACCGTTGGTTTCTTTACGTAATCTTCGTATTATAGGAAAAGTGTCCAAGGTCTTCGAACATGTATCGAAAGCGCAAATGAAATACATTTAATCAACTGAAATAATATAAACTTTGAAAAAATAGAACTCGTTTAGTTTGCGCTGGATGATATGTCACTAGTTTCGTGACTGTCGGTATTCAATGTGTTCTAAGATTTCGTAATTAGCTCGTCCATACAATCGCTACTAAATAGCGTCTGACGGTGAAGTGGAAGTGTTGAGTACGTTGGCATGTATGTTGGCACACCACAAAAACGAACTATAGACTGATAGCACTCAAACATCAAATCGTCATGCGAGCGTCCGGATGCAAGCAAGTATATGAATCGGAGAATAATGTGAAGTAGAGTGGAGAAGGCTTGTGGGACAACTCGAATAGATAAAGCATGACAAGTAATCGATATTCAGACAAGAATAATACAGACATGTAACAAGTGAGATGGGCATTCACACACATGAATAAAAGCGCCCAATGATTGACAGGGTCAAATGAGATGTGATTATTTATGACTGCATGAATTTTCACGTTCCGGAAGGCATTTTGTACAGGAAAATTATTCAGGTAAATTTTCACATAAACATATAGTGATAATTGTCACTGAAGAAGAGAGAAAATGAATGTAGTGGGAGAAGAATGAGTGGAAATGGTCACATTCATCTGTATTGTAGGATGGTGTAACGTTACGTTAACCAGGGTAAATTTGAACTTGCAAAACATTATGTCCGTACACATTAAAGCAGATGAAATTAACAAATAGTTGTTGTATTGAATAAAAACTTTCTGAAAAAAATTCATTCTTTAAGGCTCAGAAATATTATGTCATCGGGATTTAGGTTTCACAGTCTCAATTCGAAGCGATTGTTAGGTTTCAGGGAGAATAATTGAAATGGCAGGTCGATCTTTGATAACTACAGAATTGACATTAGACTGTCGACGTAATGGGTTGTTCTTGTCAACTATCCAAAAAAAATCGAACAGTTTACCATGAAAATTCGATACTTAGTAAACAGGGTTAGAAAATAGGTTATTTCAAAATTGCTCCAGTGATTCAGTTGATTTAAGGACGCATGAAATAGGTATTCAAAGAACTAATTTTTCTGAATATTAAGGTTCGTCTAAAACTATGAATGTGAAGCGCATTTGAAGTCAGTCCAAACCAACTACAGACTGCATACGTAACACAGAGAGGTGATGAATCTCAGCAAATTAACCTGGGATGCGAAGTCGATATCATGAGAATATTATTAATCGTCAAAAATTTCTTTGTCAATAGCGAGAGATATTTCCAGCTACATTCAGCAAAATGTGAAATAATTGACATGTCAGATTTCAACAACCAGGGATTTTCGACTTCCGTTAGTGACAAGGAATTCAGAATCTCCACAAGAAAGGATGTCAATGGTAAAAAGATTCGTTTGACCGTTAACGCAATAATTAATTTGAAATGACACTGAAAATGTGTGGCCTGACTTTGATTTAATCAACAGAATATTGTCCAAGAATTGTGTTATTTCAGAAAAGAAGTGTAAATTCACAGTAGTAAGAAACAATATTTCAATCTTGCAATTCAGATGATGCAAGGTTGCACTTTTCGTGTCCTCGGTGTGAACGTATCTCAATTCCACTCATGCTCACACTCAGTTTACTTTGTTCTCGTTTCGTTTGATGAGAAAATAATGGTAATGAGGTCACGGGAAAATTGCAAACCAGTGAAGAGTACAGAAACATTTTTCAGATCCCCCCTTCTAATTACACTATATAAACCCTTCAGTTGCATAATAATTTTGTTTCTGATTTTCACAATGAAACTGATCGCAGCAATATTTCTTATCATATTTTTATTGTTTGGCAGTAATTCTGAACACGTTTGTCAACTTCCTAAATTGGAGGAACCGGTTCGTTTTCAGTTTGTTTTTATTTTCTGATTTTTCTTTTTCAGAGTTTTGGTGTTTACTCTGGTTCCATAAATAAACGCTATTTGGGTCGGCAAAATTTGAAAATTACAACATATTATGACAAAACAGTAATTAAAAGTGACGCTGCTGCACAAATCGTGGTTAGTTCCCAATGTTAAAGTGGTTTTTAATCGAAATTGAATGACGAATAATGGCAAATGGTATTCATTCAATGCATGCTAATCTTAGTATGTTTTTTAACATTCATAGATTCATTGTTCATGTGACTTGTTTTAAATGAACAATATGATGACAGAGAAAGAGCATAAAGGTTAATATTTTGTTAAGAATGAAATGAGCCTCACTATAGCGATGGCAGGATATAAACAGTACAGTGCAGTACAGTACAATTTTTATTCTTTCTACCCTTGTCGGATCTAAACTCTTGATATATATATATATATACAATCAAGATGTGTTTCTTCACTATTTACATGATAACCGATCTGCTGAGTAACTTGCCGCAGCAGAAAAACGAATCACAGTTAGGATAGTAATGATTCGGAATTTTGATACTCTATCCATATGCATGAATATGATTCCACGAAATAATATAGTTCACTTCAATAGGCATTCTGATATGATTCGCACTGACTTCACGATAATTATGCTAAGTACTGTTTCAGACTCAGGTTATTGGCAGTTTCTTCAGTGAGCTAACATAAATAGGAAGAAATTTCAATTCTCGCGAAGGTATAGTCTTTTAATCCTGGTTTCATCGATCATTGTTCATCACCAGTTCTCCGCCAGATGTGTTCTTCGGTCTTCCACTTTTCTTTTTCTTTCAGTACTACATGCTTTCAATTTCCTAGTCATGACGTTGGATGATTTCAGCAGTGGATCCTCATCACCTACAGCATTGTTTCCGGATTTCCAAACAGACGTTTATTCCTTCACCGTTATAGAACAATATTTTCGATAGCGTAAGGTCAGCTGATTTGGAGTATCTTGCGAACTTAAGTGTTTTTTAACACCTATTTAGTCGTTCTCTCGGTTTCAGTTGCATACAGTAAGACTTTTCTGATGTTCGCGTTGATGATGCCTAATTTGTTGCTTTTCGAGAGATTTCTTGAGTTGCAGATGTTGCTGAATCCGTTTTGACGATTCGGTTGTTCACGTCTGCATGCCAGGCGTGAATGTAGAGCTTTCCACGTGTTGCTGACCGTAGTTTGTAGAAGGTGATTGAGTTGATGAACGACGTATAGTATATGATAATGTTGCATTGCCATTTGTGCAAGTGCGAAGATACCGATGCAAAGACAGCTGTGATACTAGCTGTCTTTATCTGCATCGTCTCTATGCGTGGGATAGAAGGGTGCATCAATGACTTTTGAGGCAGGCGATTCATGATCGATTCTTGCTTTTTGTTATACTACAGAAAGCGGTAGTTTAATGCATTTTGTCAGTGCTAATTTTTCATTTCATGAGAATGTTCTATGAAAGAAGGTCAATTGTTGTTCAAGTTTTCAGAACACCATCAGTCACATCAATACTGGTGAATCTGGAACATCGCAATTAGCCGTCATTAGTTCTGACGAAAGAAGACTTTTTCTACTCTTACGGTGGTAGCTAATCACTTAGAATGATTTTATATAGTTAGTGTTTCTAAACCATGAAGTTTTGTGTGTGTTGGTTTCGTAAATTCTATGCTGGACTGCCGCCCTTTATCCTCGTTACGTGTCAGCAGTAACCGAGGAATGATCAGTGTTAAAATCTCATGCCTTCAAAACAAAGTCGATATGATGTCATATTCTGATCATCTTTGGTGATTGATCGATAACATTTATATTATAATTAACCTAAATAGTGTATGATGGGAGAAGTTTCGTCAAAAGATGTCCCTCGTATTTCAAATAACAATATCTTTTATTAATCACTCATACTTTAATGTACGATATGAAACTTTCTCCTATCTTCCACTGATACTTCCTTACAATATATCTCATATTACGTTCCATCACATAAGTTACATCTTGCTTGTGTTTTCAAAGACAAATAATGATTATTTATTATTGACTCCTCCAGCAGACATTGATAGAGATTAGCAGTGTAATCGAAGATTGTGTAATTGAAGACTTCTCTTTTGCTCCTTAGGGTAAATGATTACACACAAATCAAAACCTATTGCTTGGGATTCAAACGCAATCTAATCATCCATTGAGCAAATGAGTCATGAATACCGTTAGTATATTCAAAACATTGTACATAAAAATATTGTCTGGATTGGATCAATTCTGAATTCATATTTTATTTATACTGTGACACTTGATTGATTTTATAACGGCTGCAAACAACAAATCTAGTATTCAAAATGCAAGAATGCTTGCGATACATTACAGGCCAGGCAGTCAATAGTTTCTTAAAAGACGATCATCGAAGTTCCTACCTGCTTTAACTGCCTAATAACCACCTATTCATTAGAGTTGGTTGTCTGAATACATTGAAAATGAAATATCAATCAGAAGAGTTTGTAAGAGTTTGTAAAGCAACATAAAAGCATTGGTAATTATACTTTTCATTGTCTGACATTATGTTTTTATCAAACACTGACCTCTCAGTCTTACTGCGATTGCCTGATCAAGCATGTTTTGGAAATTCTTGACAAAATAGTAGTGATCCTAGCGTATATATATTTAAATATTGAAGTGATCTGCGCAGAATGCACATGTGTTTAGGAAGATTTATCAATGGTTTGCGATTAGTTCATATTCTAAAATGAATAAATATGGTTTGAAGTTTTGTCAAGTATCCATTTCCATCAATAATTGCAGAACTAATTTCTGTTTTTATACATTCAAATTTATGCCACAACAGACAGCAATTGAAAGTGCTTCCAGATATTGGGAAAAAGCGTTGATTGTTAAAACAAATACCGCGGAGAATGTGTTTGTTGAAAGGTAAAATTATAAATGTGTCATCTTTGTAACCAATGTTGATAATGTGTTTTGAAATAATTTGAAAATAATGAAAATTATGGTTTCGTTAGTGTTTTTAGTATTGTTAATTATACTGTCAAAGTGAAGTAAATGGACGGTATATCATTTTTTTAATTTTGATTGTAAAATTGTTGACTAATCATCTTACTTTCGGCTCGTTTTCCATGATTTAATTCATCTGACCTATTTTTACATGCGTTCCATTTTCAACGTGGAACGATAGATTAAAAACAAAAATACAAACAAGTAACTGACGGTTGAAAAATGTGCCAGAAACACTGATCTCCATAAACTCCAATTGAAAACATCGTGAAATGTGCTCCAAAAGTAGTGATCTGCTTCGTGTTCCAATTCTCGGAGATCTGGTGAGAACTCTTTCGGGTGTAGGTAGGCAGTAACTACCTAAGTTAAATTGATGAGGTTGCGCGAATCCCTAGATTAATCAGAGTAAGACATGAACACTGTTGGAGACCGGCTCAGTGGTCCGAAGCTAAGGTGTTCGCGCATAATATCAAAGGTCCTCGGTTCGAATCCTGCCAGGTGCAGAAGTAGTCGTCAATGCGAACTTCTGAATAGTCCGAATGCCAGAACGGAACGGGCGTCTTTCATTGCTCTTAGGTTTCTAATCATGCTGGTCTAACAATGACTGATTATTGATTTTAAATGTGTAAAAGGACACTAATCTTCATGACTTTTATTGAAAATCGATTATAGGATGATTCTAATACCATATTGAATGAGATTAAATTGAGTACTAAGTTGGATTTATTTGATAAACAAAACAACAATTGTATTCATTGACTTTGTCAGGCGAATAATATTTATTTCTTGGTTTCGGATCATCATCACATATGAATTATGTGTTTTTTTTAATTTTCATTTTAAACATAAATGTATTACTGAAGGTGACAATGATTAGTTTGTTAGCGCAATATAATGTCAGTTGAATAATTGGGATTCCAAACAATTCAAATAGTTTGAATTTGTAATAATGGCTTCATTGATATTTTAGACATTGTGAAGAGGATCAACCGAAATACACGTCTACTAATAAAGATAGACCGTATTGTCATCGGGTACATTGTAAACGTGACGTATTATGTAGTGGTCTAACTATTCCTCATAAGTATTTGAAGGTAAGTGAATGTGGAGAACAGGAATTTATATATACTAAGTGACTTCGTTTATGGTTATTTTGAATTATTTGTTGCTACTACTAATTAGTACTCTCAAATTAGTTGAGATCAGTGACTTTTAAAACTTGAACCAACGGTGTGAAATTGTTTTTCTAATCGACACTTTTCATGATTATTCGATGCTTTGTTATCAACAAAGTCTTTAAACTTCAATAAGATTTTACTTTCATTTATCCCTGATGCTGTACATTCTGATTGTTGTTCCATCAATGTTAGACCACCTTAAAGCACTGCATGTCCGTTTTGAGCTTGTATGTAAGTTAAAGTCAAAGGGCGTTAAATTCTGATGAGAAGACTTGGATAGTACTTTTCAGCCGTGTCGAGTGTGAATCAGTGCTCACAGCATTGTGAGGTGGCTGGTAATCATTTACACTGACGAAACCTGACTCGTCACTGTAAACTTTAAGTATTCACACGCAAGGGCCGATGTCCTGAATTCTATTCTTACTCTCATAGTCGTGAGGGAACTCAGATGATGATTCCAGATTTCTCACAGTGGCAGAAAAATGATCCATTCCTAATTTGTTTTAGAAGAAGCAAATGTGCATTTGTTGCGATATAACAATACAGCATTTCAATTAATACTATCATAGGAAACAGAAATAAAATAAAACTGAATTAATGATCGTTGTGTATATGATTTTTGCATATATTGTGAGAAATTTCTAAAATTTAATAAATGAACAACATTTCTATTCATAATAATTTTGCCTCAGAAACGGAATAGGTTGACAAAATTCGACATAAAAACAGTAATATCAATGATGATGTTGATAGACAACACTGAATGATCTAAAATTAAATGTTATATTTTGTCTCATTTCAAAATTTTCAGGGATGTTATCATCGTAAATATGCTGAAACTTGGCAGGATTATGAGGATGGAGAAGGAATAGCGCCAAACGAGTTGATAATACTTGTGAAGCACAACATTTCTGATAATTGTGGCGGAGATAGATTTGCATGGGGTGGCTTTTGCATCAGGGACCCGAAATCAAAGAGGTAAACTACTTTTATTCAGTATTTTGCTTTGTTCCACACAGTTATCCGAAAACTCTACGAAAAACATTGAAAAAAAAGTTTTTACACTAGCAACAGATTGTCTGACAATAAAAAAAAACAACCTGAAAATGAAAGCATTTTTATTATTGGCGTTTCACAAAAGTTATTCGTTTTGGACAAAGTCTCGATGTGATGACTATTTCCCACTTATTCGATTTTTTATAGTGAATCTGTGCCTAATTATGGAATTACTTTATATTTATACTTTTATATCAAAATGTAAACAGATGTATAGTTTACGCAAAATTTAGATATAATAAAATAATACTACACTGTGATTTGATGCAATTGTAACACCACTTTCCTTAATGCTAGTAGTGCACACATTGTTTTCTCATACATTTATTTCCTTCCATGAACTACAGTTATTAAATTGTCTTCCTAGAAATAAAAGTTCACTCAAACTTAAATGACTCATTTTTAATTAGACATACAGAATTGATCAAATTCTGACATTCTTGTAACCATCACAATAGATATATGTATATCCCTTCATCTAATGCTTCGAGTGTGAACCATTGTTCTGTATTTCAATTCATTACTGAACAAGCAGGTAAGCGATGTTAGCGGTAGGAAACGGGTCCTAGTTAAGGGTCGCAGATCAATAGGTAAAGGTTTTACGAATGTTAGGGACAGCCAGGCCTAAAGATGGCACAAAGCAATGAAGTCATTGAAGTCATTGGACTGAGCCATGTCGGAAGTTGTCGACTATCTGCTTTTTGCCTGCGAGGTGATAGTAATCGATTGTTGGATTCGCTGAATGACATGGCTCAAAACCAATTGCAATGGCGCAGGTTCTCTCACTCATTGTGTTCTATGAGTTTCGAAATCATGTACGTACGTACGAGTTTCAGTGCTGTTTTTTACTTGACTTGAATTCTTCTGGTGATTTATTTTTGTTCATTGTCTCTTTACGTATATGCATAATTTTTTCTCACTTCGTTACACACTGACTTTCATTTCAAACAATTACAATAGAACAGCGTTTAAAAATGTCTAATTGCTGTATGAACATTTAAAAGTTATCAATTGCATTTAGATTATCTCAACAGAATAGAAATTTATCACATTTCTTTGACTGAAACTTCATCTAGAATATTTGTGAGTTCTATCATTCGAAATAAGATCACAGAGGTTCAGTCAAATTTTATTATTACACACGTTTACTACGTTACCAAACATATTCCGTTATTAAGTTAAGCAATAAACTTCTAAAATTATTTTGTGATATTATTTCATGACAAACACTGAATACTACAGACAAGATAAACTATTCTGTGTAATTTAAAAATACAATTGAAAAATGAAACTGATGTGTTTATTTTGATGCATATATTTAGGCCCATCATAGGTATAGTTAATTATTGTAAAACGGCGAATGACCTTATCCAAACGGAGGAAGATGAAACAGAATCTATAACGAAACATGAAATAGCTCATGTACTGGTAGGTTGATGCATTGCAAACGTTTCTGAACCTGTAAATTAATTCACACTGAACGCATGAACGCATAACTTCTAGACCATATTGTCAGCGTCAATCACAATTCGACCATGAGCGACAAACTTCGATAGCTTCATATTGTAAACGAATGTGATTCACTGACACAAGCCAGTGATAAGTGACAGGGAAATTGAGCAACTGCACTCAATAAGGAGACTTTCGAAAATACAACCATCGGTAGTTCCATTGTAGGGAAGTTCACTTTTTTCATGCATTTTCGAACATCATAAATGAGCTTAATGAATAGTCACCAAGGAAACTTGAAAATCAATATGTATAAAGCTGCAATCAACTAATAATTTGACAGTGTTGGATTCTGTGATCTGTTTGCTTAAATAATGAATGTTTTAGTGTCCATCTAAAAGTACCACTATTTATCACTAAACCCTAACTTTATATAAAGTAAAATAACAACTTATCTCTCTCACAAGCTCACAATCAAATTGATTTTTTTAAAGGGATAATGGAGTTTTCATGTAAAAACAGCTGTCCAGCTCAGCAGATGAAACATTACTTAAGCAATAGACATAATTGCACATAACGAATAAATGATTGTTTCGCTATTTTTTTTCGTAAGGGATTCATTGCGGATTTATTCAGTAGTTATGAAGATATCAGTAAGAAGGTCGATATCACTAAAGGGTAAGTGTTCTAGTCGTTGATCATTCTTTTGTTCATTCCATTGTTCCTTGACAGTACTTTTTGAACTGAATAACCTAGGTTATGGTATCTAAATATTATCGAGTAAATCAATAGTATTACTAGAAGAATTAATTATCAATCCTCTACTTCAAAAGTACGTACAGTCTACAAGACACATTAGTTAAAATAACACGAATCTGTTTACATCCATGCAAAACTGTGTTTATCAACTTATCTCTGTCGTCGTCGATGCGTTCTAGACATTTGCCAAAGAACACTAAGTGCACAAGCAGACCACCTTATTATCACTTAAAACTAGTAATTCTGTGAATTATATCAACAATAAAAGTGAACACTATTCTCAACAATACCATACTATCATACACAAACTCAAATTTCACAATTAGTATTTTTTCAACTCAACTACATTTCAGAATGTAAGTATTTTTCTTATCTCTATCATACAAACAAATATCACAGTAAAGTGTCATTCTGCATCACAACACCTTGACCGAAATTGACGTGACGTTCATACCTATTATATTTGTAGTTCAACTAAAGATATTATGTTTTGTTTCACTATTTAGTCTTTTTAAATGTGACTTGAATAATCTCGGTTATTTATTTCTTTACGCTGAGAAAGTGAATTAAATTAATTCATGAAGTAATAGGAAAACAGATCATTATTATTATGTATTTACATGTCACCGAAACATTTCGATCCTTCGATGACCTATTAAGTATCATACTTATTTCAACAAATAAATAGCATTGTGAACCACAGTATTAAGGTGTTTTCCTTCAGGATAATTCAACTGAATCTGTTTGATTCAAACCAAATTTATGATTAACATTTTTTTAAGCTACAAATCTAGAAAAGTTAATGCGCTTACTTTGCCTCACATGATTGTAAGTCACATTGTTATTCCATTTTCATAAGTTGAGACTGTTATTTTTTGAAATGAATAAACGATTACACTTACATTTGTGAAACGAATCCGCCATCCAATATCGCGCTATATTTTTGCTTTAAATTGTTTCATTTTGAGATGAATTTCAAAGTACTGAATACCTCAATAATTTGGCTATTTACGATTTCATTGACTAGAATATTTTGTTTGATTCAATAAGTTGTCTGTAACGTAGTGGCATGATCAGATTAGAAGTTTTATTTGCGATTGTTTCATTCAAATCTATTGACTCACCTACTTATTTGCAACTGTTTCTGCCACTGAATCATAGGGAGCCAACAACCATTCTTCCACTTCTGTGTGCTGGGTTAGCCTTCACAGTTCTGCATAATGTTTGTTCATTCTTCTTGTGTCTATCTCCTTTTCTCAAGTTAATGTGTTTCTTGGCCCTGCGCTTTTCATTTGATTTCGAGGTTTGTACTTGATT